GTTTAATCTAGCAATCACACTGATTTGGAAGAATACCATGTAATGACTTTGTTTCAAACAAAACATTCCTAAAAAAACAACTTTTGTATTCAATTCATTATTTGATCATAAATACTGGCCAATAGCCTACCTTATTCACTGAAATGTCATATTGAATCAATGCTTTTTGCTCTCGTTAAATGTCCAACTTTTCAATACACATTTTAAGATACAAAGTATTCAAATATATACATTAATTGAAAATGACATTGTGTAATTAAGATTCACTGGTAGTGTGAGGTTTATTTAACATACATGTTTAATCTAATAAGAATACACAGACACACATAGCCTACATGATGCACCAACACAAAATTATTTTAATAGAGAATTAGAGTAGAATTGATGGATTGGATACAAACCTTCAGTTTCTTCCTACACGCTCTTGCAGTGTGGTCTATGTTGGTGAAAAGCATGTAGCATTCTCTGTGGAATCCCACGTTAACTGGCGCATTTTGGTCTCTGTTAACTTAAATGTTTCTATGGCTTTTTCTGCTATTAAACAATCTGCAGTGTTGAGGTTAATGCATTTCTCGGGCACACTGAACAAATGCTGCCCAACTTGTCAGGGAAAATGAGGTTAATGTTTTTTTTGCCTTAGAAGCAACATGCATACAGCACTTCATATTGTCGCATACCGGCTGTCAATTGCATCCCGCTTTGTTGTTATGTGGTCTATCTAAATAAATTGGGTGACACAAGCCCACCCATGGGTGGTCACTGATGTTAGAGGTCTTCTGACGGTAAGTGCACAATGTATGGTATAGCTCGTCTGGACAAAAAGTATATAAAGCCTATTTTAATAACAGGATTTTGTCAAAAAAGCTATGTTACAGTATTAACTTTGCTGGTTGTCAAGGAGACGGGACAGGTTGTCATGGAGACGGATGATTTTTTTACATTTTCTGAAGCTACGATTTAGTAGTCCTAGAAATTTGCCCGTTTAAAAATGTAAGTTTATATTGATATCTTGTCAGCCGACCAGTTTGCCCATGACGTGCTTTCAAAAATCGACGATTCGCCATGAAACAGGAAGTTGGTATAACTTCAGTATACATGCTCACATCTGCACCAAATTTTACATGTATAATAAGAGTCGCGCCCTGAACACATCCATGTGCCAATATTCACTCAAAGTCATAGCGCCATCTGCTGGCAACAGAAAATTACACCTTTTATGCTGTAATGTACTACTCCAAGCAGGTTGGACATACTATCAACTTCAAATCTGTCTCAGAAAACCCTTAACACGTTGATGAAGCCATGTTGTAAAACTCGTGACTTTGCAGTTAACGGTGTGGCGTGGCAAAGTTAAACTCTTTGCCATGACACAGGAAGTTGTTGTAACTTGACTGTACATGCTCACATCTGTACCAGATTTTGCATGTTTGATAAGAGTCCCGCCCTGAACACGTGTACAAGACAACATTCACCCATAGTCATAGCGCCACCTACTGGCAATAGGAAGTGACCTTCAACGAAGCAACCCCCGTGTCACGTTTTACCTACATGTATGAAATTTCTGTGACACAATGATTTTTCGGGGGTGGGACAACCTTCAGATGGGGGGGGGGGGGTCGGACCCCCCGACACCCCTGCTATTTCCATCTATGCATTGCTGAACAGTCACACCTGACACCGCAGTGCTCTCACTTCAACCATCATTAAAACAGTCAGTCTCGCCTGAATGGAAACCTCTTCTAGAAAAGTCCAGTGCTGGTTTGAATGGACCTATGCGCGCTAACTTAGTCCTCATGAAGTCTGATAAGACTGGGGGCCAATCTGCTGGGTCATTTGGTGGAGCAGCAACTGTTCCATTAGGGTCTGGGCTGCATGTATCTGATGCTAGCTGTCCATCTCTGGCTGTGCTCGTACTGGCTGAGGCTGCCTGTACTTCACCTGAGTCTTGCTAAAGATGCCTGGACTGGGTCTGTGCAGTCTGTCTGGGAAATTCCCGGCCTGAGTTTTTGTGCCAGTCCGCCCCTGCTTGCAAGATATTACTGTTATCAGCTCCATCAGGCCCATTCAAACTGGCTCTCCTAGATTTCCTTAAATACATTTTCAAATATAAAATACTATGTTTACTAAGAATTCACTGAATATGTGATGCTTGTTATTTACTGATATCACTCAGTATGCCCCTTGATTCAACATTTTAATAGTTAATAGTCAATCCAATGCTTTCCATCTTGACAGATAATCACTGTCTCGTTTTAAAATGATGTGCACCTGAGGAGTGTCATCACATCGATTTGTTGTCTGGACCTATGGTCTGGACTGGTCCCGCAGATGTTTCTTGCTGGAATGCCTGAGTTTCATTTCGTGCACGTCCAAATGAGCGCATGTTCACATGAGACAAGGTTACCGTTTCAGTGCTGCAGTTTATTAAATGTAAAAAATAGTTGTATTTCATTCCAACATTGTTCAGAAGTCTGGAAAGCAACCAAGACACAGACAGTCCAAAAGATGCACTGCTCAGCTGAGTTAGCAAGACAGACGGATTCTCTGCAGCTGCACATTTACCTAACATGACTGTTATCTGCTGACATCCGACTTTGAAAGGAGAGAACACAAGTTTACCTGACTGCTGCATTTAGTTTTTCTCTTCTTGTGCCCAGAACGATAGTCCCTCTTCATCATCTTATCAAAGTTGCATTCGCTTTCAGCTTTGACACAAGAGTGAGGCGGGGACCTCCAGCTCTGTGCGAGAGTGACTTCACTGCGCATGCCGGTGTCGCATCAGCTGGGGGCAATTGATTAGCTCTGAGTCGACATTGTCAGTCATATATTTATTTTCACTGCTGCTCCACTCAGACGGGCTGCAGGCGTTTCGCTTAACTTTTGGGTGAGTAACGAGGTCTCGTGCAGAATGTAACGGAGTAAAAAGTTGTTATTTGGCTTATAAATGTAGCAAAGTGAAAGTAAAAGTTGCAACGAGTTTAAATACTCAAGTAAAGTACAAATTCACTACTGTACTTAAGTACAGTAACAAAGTATTTGTACTTAGTTATTTTACAACTCTGATTATGTTAGATATTCGACAGATCTCTGTGGAATATCCAACGTAAAAGGAACTGTGCAAAACGTCTTCCCCTTGTAAAGTGCTGAATTTGCGACACAACAAAATAAATGATAGAGCATAATTTAAAACTATTGATGTTTTGCGTCAAACAGTATTTATCGTCATATCGCATAGGTCCTTCATCATATAATACCTTTTCCTTTTTAAAATGTCAAGCAGTAAAGTTTGCTCATTCAAGTACATTTTAACTGACATACTTTATACTTTTGTCTAAGTACATTTTTAAGTACTTTTAATTTAGTGAAATTTCTTCAAAGTAAGCATACTTTTACTTGAATTCAATATTGTAGTACTCTTTCCATCCCTGGTTGTGTGCAACGGCTTAACTTTGTGTTGAAAAGGGGTGGGGACATTTAAGATAGGATTTTTGCTTTTAGATGTCTTATTACAGAAAGTGTATGAAACCCATGACCCAAATAGTCATACGTTCTGTCATTGTGATACTTATGGATGGAATTATGGTGAAAACTATAATAGTAAATTTACTATTTATTACCCTTAAGGACCCCTGGTGGTCCAGAAAATGGCTATTCATTTATTAGCTGCAATAGGGCTAGTCTGAAAAAGTGAACATTGCAGCTCATGTTGTCTAAAGCTGATGATACATAGAGCAACTTTTAGAGCAATCGTGCAGGGCAACGTTGTCTTCAATGGTAATGAGTATAGATTACTACGGTAATCCCCTTCCCACACCACTCCGCCACCCGCCCCACACCGCCGCTAGCCATTCAAAACATAGTCGGACTTGCCACTAGCAAGATTGCCCAGCAACATTGCTCAAAAAGTTGCCCTGTGTATCATCAGCTTAAGAGGTCCCCCAGTAATGCCAGTCTTTGGGTGGTTGGGAACGGCACCCCAAGATAGATCTCCAGGATTGAGGTGTCATGTAAACCATACTCATGAGCCTTACAAAAAATACAGTTTTTCATGCAAAAGATCAACGGAAAATGGACATTGACTGTACCTTTGAGGAACGTAACCTTATACATAGGGTTTACAATAGCTCTTACAAACAGTAGGTACAACAGTATTTTCAAATGTAGTCTATTTATTTAAATATAATTGGAAAACAAATACAGTGATAAAGTATTTAATAGTAAACTATATACACTTGTGCAGAAAAATTTAGACTGAGTAGAGTCCAGTGGTCCAGCAGAAGCAGAAGTTGTTGTCTCCTTCAGATGACCCTGGGTACTGCAGTGGATATTCTTACAACTCATGAGAGGCAATGTCGCTACCGCCACCTGCTGGCCACAAATGCGTAAAAAGGAAGTCACAAATGTAACGTGTAATGTGACCTGCAAATTGACAGGAAATGATCCGCAAATGTGCAAAAACTGTTTTGTGCATAAAAATTGATTCACAAATGCGTAAATAACACTTTGAAAGTAAAATTAAAATATGTGTGTACAGAGTAAATTGTACATAATTGTGCATAATTTGTGGATATGATTTTACACAACACAAATGTAAAAATACATGTTTTTTGTAGTGAGATATTTGTGTATATTTTTTTTACAGATGTCCGCAGTACACATTGGACAAAATTCCACAAATGCATAAAAAGGAAGTTACAAATGTAACATGAGCCACAAATTGACAGAAAGCAATCTGCAAATGTGTAAAAACTGTTTTGTGTGTAGAAGTCACTCTGTATTTTTGTGGATATGATTTTACACATCACAAATGTAAAAATACATATTTGCAGATAGAATAAATATCACATCTGTGGATTGTTTTCTGTGGGTTACAAATATTAAAGTCCGATAAAATCTTCCATAGGATTGAAGTTTTAAAAGAGATGACATTTTCAAGATTGAGTGGAATGTTGACTTTATATATCAAACTATTTATCTTACATGATACTCTCTCTTTCCAGGATTAAGGCCATTGAAAGTGCCACCAAAGATGATGATACTAAATGGCTGACCTACTGGGTGGTGTATGGAGTCTTCAGCGTGGCTGAGTTTTTTGCTGATATTTTCCTGTCCTGGTTCCCATTCTACTATATTGGAAAGGTAATTTCGCTGGATCTGTTTGTTTGCGTCAATATGTCGGCAAATGTGCTGAAATATTGATTCATACAACCAAAAATTTAAATGATTCAATCTGAATTGAGTGTGCAGCTTTTGTCTCCTAACTTTGATATATGTGAGCAGTGTTTTCTCAGTTCTTTGGACCATAGTAAACTAATCAAGGGTGGAGCACACTGAACTGATGATAGAAGATCTATTTTGAGAAAGGTTAAAATCAAGGGAAACTGGACTTGGTTGAAGATACTCAAAGACGTTTTGTCCCTCATCCACAGACTTCGTCAGTTCGACTGACTGACTGACGGTCATACTGCTGTAGTTAACCAGATTAGGCCAAATATTTGCGCCTTGTGTTTGTGTAAGTACGCAAGTAACCACAAATTGTCCAGCGATTAAATTTGCATGAGTAATGTGATTTTATATATTTATTATTATTTGTCTGCCGCAAGTCAATGTACCATGAGCTGGAATGAGCTAGACATGAAACTTGACACCATAACTGGAAATAATAATGCTTCCCAAAAAAAGAATATTTCAAATTGCCTAGTGGTGGCACTGTAATTAACATGTAACCCCTGGGTTATTTTGCCTTAAAACCCATTTCAATATTAGATATTTACGTTTAGTGCTGAAACTCTAAAGGCCATGAATGTACATGTTTGTCTGAAATCCTAACCTGTTGTGTTTGACACCCTATAATACTGTTTGTGTCTTTAACCCATAGATTTAACCTTGTATTTATCAGTCAAGAGGCCTCATAATGTTCCTTTGTGCTTATGGGTTGAGAGGGTGGGAGATCGCCCAGTGACAGTCAAGTGTGTGTGAGAACAGATCGTCATGCTCTCATTTTTCCAGCCGCGTCAGAGAGAGGACGGAGAAAAGACAGTGAGAAAGTCGACGCATCAAAAAGCGTAACGGAGTTGTTGGACTCCTCGAGGACTTTTGCAATACTGCTACTATAGTGGTGAGAGCTGCTGTTACGTTGTATGTTTACGTTTATGTTACGGTTCTGGATGTTTACTTGAGAAGAAGTGTGTTAGCTGCCACTAGCGTGCATGAACTCCATTAGCTCAGATGTTAATCTTAGGCTAGCTTCAGAGATTACTTCTCGCCAAAGGATGACAGAGAACCAGATTGGGCGACCAAGCAAAACCCAGCTGCACCTCTGGCATTGTGGGAGAGGAGATAACATTTTCACCACTTGCCCATAAACTATCTAGAATGCATTCGGTCTTAGCTGGAAAGGACTGAGGTAACGTTAACCTGAACTTCAGCGGGGTGAGTAACCCATGCGTTTGATTACACAGTCAGAGGCCGAAATCTAGTGGCCCAACGCACACAAGCCACGAACATGCCTGCATCTGGGTGAGGGGGACAATTGCCGGCATTTGTGTTTGTTGTGTTCATAGTTTGGGCACACTTATATCCTATATTTTTGTAAGTAGTATAATTCAAGGTGAATGTGTTTGAAGTGCCTAGAACATTTGACGGCCATATTACTGTGTTAGCTTTGCCACAGAGGGTTATAGAGTGTAACTTCAACTGCAGTACTGCATTTATTTTCCTATGTGATGTTTGCCTGAAGCAGATAACTAGGTGGTTGGAAAATTTTATTTCATTGCCAGTATCAATTTTGTGGATAATTCAATTGGGCATAATAAATGTGTTTTTTTTGAAAGTTAAAGTTGCAATTGACATTTATTTGATTAAGGTACACTGTGTGTAGATGAGTTCAAAGGTGCAGTGTGAGTCAGGTCATCCACACCAGTAACCAGGTTTTATTCATGTATGAGTAGACTTGACACATATGAGACACACAGTACATTTAGTATTCATATTGAGTGTAAGAAACCAAACCTGGGCGCTGCTCATGAGACCTTTATGGCAAAACAGTGTTGCAAACATATAAAAAAGTAAGAACTTTGAAAGGCCGCCCCCCCGACACTGTGAACCCATATGACAGTCGGCAATAGGTGGCTCACGGGCCACCTGCCACCATGTACTCTTAGTTGCCACTATGTACTTTGAGTTGCTAAAGTGGGTGATAAGGAAGATATGATTAACTTCACCATGCCAGAAATTAGTGGTTGTTACAGATAGGCATTAGAGAGTAGGGAGCAGTGATTTTATAGTGGAGTCTAAACTGCCTCCAAATCTTTATAGTAGATAAAATCACAGGTTCATTAAGAAATTTGAGGGGTGCGTATCAAAGTTGATAGGGAGACTGAACTGCAACAATCTGCTTGCAATTGACACCACTCTGTAGTGGGACGGTTGCGCCACAAGTATATTTTCTGGTTATTGGCCGCCCAGTTAGTACACCAGAAAATCAGGTAGTGCTAGACCACCATCTTCTTTCTGTACAGACAGTCACAGATTTTCTGTAATGTTACAGTCAGCTGTTTTCTCGCTCATACGTGGCTGTTAAATAAACAGAAAATATGAAATGGCTGAATGTTAGATGACACACGGTGTAACATTACGTTTCTGTGACAGCAGCGGGGCAGAAATTACTTTTAACATGAATGCAATGAAGAAATACATACGTTTTAACGGACCACGTGTCCTCGTGCTGATAATGTGCCGTGCTTGTGTGGAGTGCTCCAGCATACTTTTGCTTCACATGTTCATGCTGTATCACGCATTTGTGGACAGCAGTTGTGCTGCAGTGAAGCTATTTCCAGTTCACAGAGCTTACAGAGCACCACGCTGTTGAGTGTCTGTCTAAAATACTCCCAAACTTTAGACAGTTGAAGGTGCGGCCTTGTAGCTGGAGCTTGTAATGGTAAGCTCGAAATACAAATAAATAGCTGTGTGGGACATTTTAATCGAGTTAATTCTTCCCAGTAGTGATCGGGGGAGACTGTTCCAATGCTGGAGATCTGATCTGACTTCAGGGGCGTTGCTAGACATAAAGCTCTACTGGGGCACAGGCCCCTTCATCCCCCATGTAAATTTTTGATTCATGATTTTGATTTAGTTTTGATTGAAGTGTATGAAATGTGTCAGTATGTGCCTTACCAGCGTCCCTTGCTTAGCCCATTAATGTTGGCACTGATGTGTCAGAAAGGGCTTTGAATGGAGCATGCGCACTAGGATTGGGTATCATTTAAAATTTTACGATACCAGTACCAAAACCAGTATCCTTAAAGTGATACTGATACCAATAGAGTATTAAATTTGATACCTTGCATAAAATGCCACCTGCTGAAGCCATAGTAGTTGATTGGTATCCTATTATTATTATTGTCATTGACACCCTGTCCTTTGAATCCCACATTGAGGTTATCTATTTTTTTCTTGTTTCATATAACTGCTTAATAAAAGTATATCACATGTGTATCACATCCTCCTCATCCTAATTAGGTCATCCCCACAGGTAGTATTAGCCTAATAAGTGGCACGTCAAACCATTTCTATGTCCCGCTCCATCCAGGCTGTGATTGGTCAGTTGATGAAATGTGAAATTGACGAGCACATCGATTTTATGAAAAGCAACAAAAGGCACCTGATATAGCTGAATATCCAGCTATCCAAATCCACAACCTCCTTTTCTTCTCCCTGCTGTCTTCTGTCTCACCACTCCAGCTGCTGACACTACATCTGATGGCTGTGCTACACGGAGTGTTTCTGTTGCAGGAAATTAACTTTTGCAACTTGCACAAAATAATGAGTTACATGAGCAGTGCACCAGCTCAAAGTGTCGTGCTTATCAGAGACATGGAGGCTACAACTGTTCACTGGCTAAACTATAGCAGAGGGACCAACCTGTGCCAAAGAAACGGCAGCAGTCGGCAGTATGGGAAAATGTCAGGTACACCAAGACTGACCAGGGTGTTATTTAAGAGGTGACGGATCACTTGTTAAAAAACTCGTTGGTAAAAGGTCGCTGCTGAAGGAGAGAATAACTACATTTAATTTAATACAGCTCCTGCAGCTAAATAACATAACAAGTTGATAGGGAATGAAATGTAAACGTGTCCATTACAATCAGTGCCATATCAGTGAGAGTTGGGCTTTCAGTGCCATGTGCACAAACAAAGCAGGTGTAACCTTTCCGACCCACTACAACAACAGCACCGCTGCGCTATGAAACCCAATATTTTCAATGGCTTGTGCCACGCCACGGCAGTTTGTTGCTGGGTTGAGCAACACGCACTGCATCGCTTGGCACGCATGCTGCTGTCTAAGTAGTTGAACTTTTGCATTGAACCCAGCTTCCAGCGTAGCGCAAATCACTTCTTTTCTGAAAGGGCCTTTATGAAGGAACGTAGTCTTACATTTAGCTTTACATCCTGGTGCCTCCTCCTGTCTGTGTTTTGAAAATGCTGCCAGGTCTAAAACACTTACATAACATCAGGAGCTTATAAACTTCCAGGACTATACCAATTAACTACACTTCAGTTATTAATAACACTAAAACTTATACATATGGATGAGACTTGATGACTGTAACAATTCAGTTTAATACCCTCCTAAATAACAATTTCCCCCGGGGGATAAATGAATATTCCTCTTATATTAATAATACTTATATTATAGAAATATAATTGTTAATGTAATTAAATATTAAAATCAACTTAAGTCATTACTAGTGTTGGGAAATTAATTAATGCATAATAATCATGATATTTGTGAAATTCCTCAGACTATAATCATAGCAACAAAATCTGTAATCGTTGCATCCCGACCTCGAAGACATCACCAGCTGGATGAACATGCTCCAACTTAATAGCAACAAGAATAATTTTCTAAGATCATTCTAATCGGCTCCAAATGCACCCTCTCCAAACCAAAAAACCTCATTATCAAGATTGGTGGTTTACCAGTCATCCAAAGTAAAAAGCCCAGGTGTCACCCTGGAAAACACCCTGTCCTTTGAATCCCACATAAAAACCATCACCCAGACTGACTTTTTCCACCTCCGCAATATCTCTCTCTTACACTGCAGCACTGAAACTCTTATCCATGCCTTTTTCACTTCCCTTCTAGAAAACTGCAACACTCTCCTCACTGGTATCCCCACCAAACTCATCAATCAACTCCAACTGGTTCAGAACTCTGCAGCAAAAATCCTGAGCTACACCAAATCATCGGAACATATCACACCTACTCTAATCAAACTTCACTGGCTCCCTGTGCAATACCAGATTAAGTTTAAGACCCTACTTTTTAAAGCCCTCCACAACCTGGCACCTACCTACCTCTATGACCTCCCAATTTGTGCCCCATCCCGCCCCCTCCACTCCTGCACTGCTGGTCTTCTTGTTACCCCTCCATTGTGCTTCTATACCATGGGAGCCCGAGCCTTTAACTGCTCGGCACCCAGGCTTTGGAACACACTCCCCCCTCATATACAACAGGCAGACTCAGTTACATCATTCACAAAACTCGACAAAACACATCTTTTCCGTGAAGCCTGTAGTCTTTAGACTTTTTTATCTTTGACTTGTGTAATTGATTTGTCCTCTTATTTTAGACTTATTTAAACTTGCACTGTTTGAATTATGCACCTCATTTAATTGCACCTTTTTATTACCTTGTATGTAAGATATCATTGAATGTCCTGAAAGGTGTCCCACAAATAAAATGTATTATTAGTAATAGTAGTCACGCTAGTGGTAGGAACACTGTATAACAGTTGAATCTCTGAGATACATCTTTGACCAAAACCAAATCTGTTGAGAACTGAAAGCAGATATGTGTTGTTTTTTTCTTTTATGGCCAAAAGCAGAGAAGCGGTGGTAGAGTAATAGTTAATAAGAGATACAGAACCGTTCAATGTAAACAGGAGAATAAACACTTTTATTTTCCACCCCACTGTCTTGCTGTTTATTAAATACAGAGTAAGAATGGGAGAATAGCACATAACTTGTTGTTACTATAACTGTTTACCAGTACTGTACACCATAGATACCCAGTATCTTCAGTGTAATAATTACAGTACTGTAATTGTGAGCGCTTGTGAGCATTTGTTGTTACAGCATGACATTTCATACGGTTCCTCTAATTTGAAATGAATATGAATGCCTATGAATATTTTTTGGACTATGTCTCTGTAGGTTCTGTGCTGTTGTCAAAAAAACATTACTCCAGAATTTTGCCTCTTGCCCAATTTAATACAAAACAGACTCTGAGAATAGTTTCACCATTACACCCTGTAATGTAACTGTGATGTTTGTCTTATGTTCTAGTTTGATGAGATAGCTCTTCTTTTCTTTCCCAGTGTGCCTTCTTGGTGTGGTGCATGGCTCCGACTCCCTCCAATGGATCAGTCCAGATATATAACCGCATCATTCGTCCGTTTTTCCTTAAGAATGAAGCCAAGATTGACGACGTGGTGAAGAACCTGAAGGACAAGGCTTCCGAAGCTGCTGACAAGTTCAAAGATGAGGGTGTGTAAATCAAAATATTTGTGTAGTGTTTACTTTAAGTAAATTTGGTGTCAATCGTACTTGTGGTACTGGAGATATAAAATGCAAGTCAATGGGATTTTTTTACCGTCTTTAATCTGCAATAACAGCGCAACCTATGGGCACATAAGGGTCAACTTTGGTGTCAGGAGTGTCCGGAGTCAGGAGACTATGCTGAATAATTTGGCTCAACTTTCATGTCAATGTGAGTTTGGTGTCGATCGTAACATATGACATCACTTCCTGTTTTTGGCATTTTTTGCAAATACTTGTTAGCTTAAAATTGGAACAGTTTTTCAAGTATCAATCTGGGGAGCACAAGCCAGTATCAGCTTGGTCCAGAGATGGTCCGTGCCAAGTTTGGTTTCGATCGGACTTGTGGCTTGGAGGAGTTAATTGAAATAGGTTTTTCAGTTTTCTCGATTTTGCTAAAAAAAAAACTATAGGCGGAAATGGGCGTGGCCTATACCACGAGATTCAGCTCGATCCCCCGACCGCGTGGATATAAGGTTTTTGACATGCGCCTTAATAGGCGGGAGTTCCAAGCCCAAACTTGTTGACCTTGCTTATAGCGCCCCCTAGAGGTAGAAATGTGCAGATTTTTGCGCTTGAGTTACGTGCAGTGGACTGGATCTACCCTATGAGTTTCGCATCCCTAGCAGTTACCGTCTAGGCTGCAGTATGAGTTTTATGCACGGAAGAATAAAAACAATTTAAAAACTTGGAACCGCGATGCCTTGCATCCGCGGGTTCCCAGCCCACTCGGGCTTGGACCCCTAATAAGTTCAACTTAAATTAAGTAAAGAAGTGATCGAATACAGTACGGCAATTTAATATCGCAACTTTTGGTTGACTTTGTCAGCGTAAGCCTTACAAGGTTCAGGATGTTTTAAAACAGTAGATGGTGTGTTGAGTCATTTCAACCCATGAAATGCAGATTTTTAGCAATTTGGTAAGAAACGTTAACATTAACACCAGCATGATGTCATTTATCACAGAATATGATGGTAGTCATTATTTAATTTAAAGCTCAAAAAGCATGTTTAAGCGTGCAGTTGTATGGTGTAACACTACCGGTCTGTCTGTTGATCCATGCATGTATGTATACATAGTAAGTGTGACAAGAATAATATGTGACAATTTACATTTTCCATGCGCTGTCATGCCACACGTCAATTTTCTCACGCAGTGAAAAATAAATGTTTAGTGTGAGTCAGCACACATGTAGGCATGATTTAGTGTTCCCTCCTGTTTTGAGTCTTTTGTTTGGGGAAGTAACCTCTTTAAATGTGCATGTGGCACCTTTTCACTTCAATGATAAATTAATTCATTTTAATTCAGTTAGAAACTTTAATAGCTCCTGTGTTTCAGCAGATTTCTGTTCATGCTCAAAACTTTCTGCATATTCAGAATCTCTCCCACATATCTGTGTTCTCTGACATGTCTGGAAAAAAGTCATAATATTACGAGACTAACGTAATTTAATGAGAATACATGTTAATTTTTAAAAGTCTTACCTGCCCTATACTCTGCTGTGCATTACGTTATTGATCCGCTGTTGGTATCCCCTTCAGACAGTTTGACTGACACAGTTTGAGAATGCATGTTACATACAGTATTAAATCAAAACTAACTCACAACTCTTGTGATCAGGCAGAAATCTCACCACAAATCCACACACGTTAACTTAAGCAGCTCTGGAAAAGTGAAGCTCACAGTCCCAAACAGAGCAAGGATTTTTAGATGTTTATATTGCAAATCTCTACCAGTTATGTTACCACTGGTCACAACTATCTGGAATGAAAGTGCGAGAGCAGATTCATTTGTTACTGTCATGGCGTACAGGAGTGTCGCATCAGTCAACAAGTCAACGTTATCAGTTATACATTTGTTTTTCACTGCGTGAGAAAATTGATGTGGCATTAAAACGTGTGGATGTCAATTGCATGAGCCGCTTTTATCCTGACGGGAAATATAATACTTCCAGTCGCTTCTATTTTGCCTTTATTGAGTCTTGGAATTAAGCCAGAGTATAGCAAAGTAGAAGATCAGGATATTGGTAGCTATCAGACTCAAACAAGACATATAACACGTGTGTAATTGTTCCACAGCCAAGAGAGCCACAGCAAACATCATGTTTGAAGAGAAGAAGAGCACTTAAGAAGGAGGCTTCCTGTCCAGAGTGTCATCTCTGGAGCTGACCATACAAAAGAAATGTTGCCTTGAAAATACTTGCTTTAAAGACATCATGTTCAATATGTAACCCTAATCTTAATCCAGACTGTATTATATGTTACCCATGTGTCACATATATCAATTAAAGCCATTCCCCAGGTCAGTTTACTTGTTTAACTTTGCTTTATTGTGGGTGTCAGAGAACTCTGGCCCTGACAGCTTTATAAACCAAATAAAAACAAATTTGTTCTCTGATTTTGATTCTTTCTTTTTTGTCTTTTGTGTGCCTAAAAGAAAACTGAGAAATAATTTCAAAAAAAGGCTAAATGTGTGCAGAATTGCTGAGCATAATATTGTGATATACTTTTCTACGGGTTGATAGACTTTTTTACTCAAACATTCTTGTTAAGTTTTCATTCATTACAAGAAAACCATTAAGAGTTTTGATGGAAATTCTTGTGAGCGTGTCAACTCTTACACAATATTTATCCTTTGCTATGTTATAGAGCCTACAGTGTCTCTTATACAAGGTCATTCTACACTGGCCTAAATATGTTTAATCAGTCATACCGGATGGTAGGCTCAACTGCTTTACCTAAGTCACGTGAGAGCTGAGGGTCACATGTATTACATTGTAAGGAGAGACAGTGAGTCTAAATATTTAAGAGACTATTCTCTAGGCCTGAAAGTGACACATACCTCAAGTTTTACCCACATTGAGCCCAGTAAGGAAAATTACCCCACAAGGTTGTTTACAGGTACTTCCAAGCAGAGCCTTTTGGAGCTGGAAATATTTGAAGGCCATGCTTGAAGATTATTTCTAGACTGTGAAAGTTATGACTTTTAACACATTATTATAGAGGGCTTCCTGTCTTAATCTTTAAAAGACAAAAGGGATAATTAAGTCATTTGGTTTTTGGATATTTGGGTAGTTACAAATTTGCACCACGTATAGGTTAAGTGTGTAATATTTAGTGGCATCTATTCAATTCAATTGAATTCAATTTTATTTATATAGCGCCAAATCACAACAGTTATCTCACAGCGCTTTTCATAAAAGAGCAGGTCTAGACCGTACTCTATGATGCTATTTACAGAAGCCCAACAGTTCCCACCAAGAGCAGCACTAGGCGAAAAACTTCCTTTTAAGAGGCAGAAACCTCGAGCAGAACCATGGCTCAGGGTGGGCGGCCATCTGCCTCCACCGGTTGGGGGTGAAGGAGAGAGAGGGAGCGAGAGAGAGCGAGAGAGGGCAAGAGAGGAACAGAGAGAAAAAGAGAGGGATGGAAGGAGAGAGAGGAGGGAGGCAGCCTACACAATATACACACAGAGGTACAGACAGTAAAGGTGATGTTGCTATAGACTAAATGAAAAATGGTACAGATATTTATAGAAGTGTCAATTATAATAATTGTAATGTTAATGATTATAATAACAATAATAACAATAGGACTAGTAACAATAGTCGTTGCAGCAGAGGGTGTCGAGCAGGAACACGGGGGCAGCAGGTGACCCGCAGCCACAGATCCAGACTCCACAGCTCCAGAGCCACAAACACCTGCAGGAAGTGATAGGAGGAGAGAGGAGAGGGACAAGAAAGCACAAGACTACCAGAAAGGGGAGAAGTTGTGTTAGTAACATGCAATAATGGGATGAGGTTGCATACAGAGGGAGAGAAAGTAGAGGAGAGAGGAGCTCAGTGCATCATGGGAAATCCCCAGCAGTCTAGGCCTATAGCAGCATAACTAAGGGATGGTTCAGGACTCACCTGAGCCAGCCCTAACTATAAGATTTATCAAAGAGGAAAGTCTTAAGCCTACTCTTAAATGTGGAGATGGTGTCTGCCTCCTGAACCCAAACTGGAACCTGGTTCCACAGGGGAGGAGCTTGATAGCTGAATGCTCTGGCTCTCATTCTATATGCAACTTCATCCCATTAATTCATGTTACTAATTCGACTTCTTCCCTTTTCTGAAGTCCTGCTGCTACCATGTTCCTGAGAGAGAGAGACAGACTCTGACAGAGACATTAGCAGTTAACAGCATTTCTGCTGCCCAGCATTCATTGCGTGTGTGGAATTTCTTCTAGTGTAAGAATAAAAGCTTTCTTGAAAAATTCCAGTGATTGCATTATTACATGTGATTTCAACTTCTTACCAGTTTCAGCCATCCAAGTCACTTTCTTCTGTTGTTTTGGGTCTTTTCAAAAATATTATAGCACTATTTAAAAGTTCAGTGTATAATATTTCTGAGCATCTATCGACAGAAATGCAATATAAGATCCATAACTATGTTTTCAGTGGTGTGTAAAGACCTTATATAATAAACCATTATATTTTTATTACCTTAGAATGAGACATTTATATCTATAGCTATAAAATGGACAAACCACTACAGAGCGTGTTTGGTCACTAAGTTGTTTTTGTTCTACTTCTGGTAGAATTCTATAAATTTTGCATCAGAGCAATATTTTCAACCTTTAGATCGTGGATGACAATATATAAGCCATAATATTGACTTGCAGTGACATATTGTTCAATTAGCTCAGTTGTTAAAGCGCAGGACTGTACCTTATTCTGGCAGGGGGCCAGATATTATTGATTGTGGGCAGTTTTGGTGAGGGTCCATAATCACAGAGAGAATGAATGTGTTTCCCTTGTCAATGTTTGTATAAACACTGGGCAGTCGCAGGTACCTGTTGCCTTCATCCCCCCAAGTACAGACCTTGGGATGACTGGTGTGGTTGTGTGGGCCTGTCAGGGCTCACCCAGACTGAGTCGGGCGCGGCTGCCTGTTGACTACTTGTCTCCATGGTGACCGCGTTGTGTTTGCTTCCAGACGCCCGCCTCCTGGGGCGGGAGCCACGCCTTTGCCCTCCCTTTGACCACGACCTCAGATCAGATGAGACAACCCGCTAAATTTAAGCATATTACTAAGCAGAGAAACTAAATAGGATTCCCTCAGTAGCTGCGAGTGAAGAGGGAAGGGCCCGGCATCGAATGGTTGTGGAAAAATGGAAACTGAAAGCTGTGGGGCTCAGGATGCTTTTACAAAAGTTTGCACACACATCAGAAGGGTTGTAATTGTGTTGTCTGATATGGTTTGGTAGCACAGGTGTGAGAAAACAGCTTGATAGCTCCCACTACAAAATTTAAACAAAATTGTATGTCAGTTACGTCAATTGTATGTCTCACCTAGATGTACAAAATTTAGGAGGCAGATGTTTCATCTCTAGACTTTAAAAAAGCCTCTTGGAGCCATATGCTTAACCCAACAGGAAGTCAGAGATTTTGAATTGAACACAAACTATTTAGCCATTTATACGCTCTATACTTTAACAAACTTACTAGAGAATTCATTTAATCGACTACTAATTTGGGCGGTGCAATCTATCTGCAATCTTTTTAGGATTCGTCAGACTCTTTTGCCTTCATTCGGCATTATTCTCCATGAAACACAAAGCTGTTTTTTGAGAAGCTTAGGATGCTTTCAATGTTTCAATTTCAATGTTTTGATGTGTCACATTTAGTACTTCTGTAACTACATCATCAGATCTTTTCCAATTTTCAAGTTTGTTCTGGCCTGTACATCTACATGCCATTTTGATATAGACATAGTCTACACTACCACTTTTTTGTTTAAAAACAAAAACGATCTCCATCCACACCAGCATTTTAGCTGATCTCTGTCTATATTAAAACGACTTAAAACGCGAATCAAGTACACTGGGCATGCAAGTGCCGGTGTAAACCAAATTGTGTATTCCGCAGTTGCAAAAGATTTGATGGAAGAAAAAAGTACTACTACAGACGAAGAACCACACCAGAGATTTTTTTTGCATGGGCCAACAACGAGGTGGAACTGTTACTGAAAGATTTTTGCGGCTGAAACAGATGCAAACAGTTGCAAAGTAAATACAGTGACATGCACTGTACAAGTATTTAAGAGTTATTTGCACAGTACAAAATTATTTAATAAAAATACCAAAACTAACACTGTTGGTAGATTTGTGCTTTGGCTTTGCATGGCTTATGAGACCTAATCAGGAAGCAAGATGTGAGTATCTCCTTTATCATTTTTTAAGTCCTCCATTTTCGCCTGTCCGCACTAACGGGAGGTGCAAACGTAGCAAAAGGTCTGTGTTTTATAATGAAAATGTAGTAGTGTGGATGTAGCCAAAGTAGGAATCTTGCTCCTCGAGAGCTTTACAGCAATGTTTATTAATGTGCACTCTCCCTGTTAAATAAACCAATACATAAAGAAGTACAAAATACAGAAGTTACTAGCGCTAGTAGTTGTACAAGTAATCATAGCTTGGATAGCCCCTTAGGTCAAGTGAACTTTGTCTAACCAGATGATCTCATTGAGATTTAAAACCTGACCATGCCAAAATAGCAGCATATTGACAAAGCACAGTTACAAATACGAAACTACAGTTATACATACCGTAAGTTTAAAGGATTTAGTTATTTTAAAAGCAGTGACAACAATTTATAGCGTCTACTTCCAAGTCTTTCATGCGGTTTTTAAATTCACCAAAAGAAATCAGATTTTGTAACTGCAAATCAGGGGCAATTCTAGGATCAGACCTTCAGGGTTGCTCAGTCCCTAATGAGAATGTAGCATGCATACAATACCTTGCAAAAGTGTTCACTGATTTGTGAAGAGAATAAGTAGGCCTACTAGAGAGGAGCTGGTGCAGAGCGGAGCAGGTCAGTTAAGGACGTCACTTTGTGTTGAAAAGTGGTGGGGACATAAGGGCTCAGATTAGGGGCGTGATGATACATTTGGGTCATGAGACGTGACAATGCACGAGAACAAGACAAGAAGTTTTTAGGACTATTTAGATAAAATATTTGATGCTGAAACATATGCGAGGGAGGTCTGGGGGTCCTTTTAGCATTAAACTGGAGACATGTTCTGCTACAATTCACGATGGAAATGTCTTTTTTTTACTGAGGAAAACTGTATTGCATTGCATGTTTTCTTATTACGCAAATCAACCTTTCTCAAAGCATTTTCATTTGTTAGTTAACATTTCTTGCTGCAAACTATTTTTTAGAACATTTTTAACAAATGCTTTCAAAAAGTAGTGGGGACAAAATAAGCCATTTCAGAATGTGGTGGGAACATGTCCCCAGCGTCCCCAGTGTAAGTACATCTACGGGGTCACTGGACCAGTTAGGGTCCGACAGCAGTGTGGAGCTATAGGCTCGTGTTTACTCCCTGGGAGGAGGGAGGGTGTTAAATGTGTTTCCCTAAGCTAAGTGTTCAGTCTTTTGTTTTCAGTTAAATCTTGTTACATGCTTGCTTTCCCTTTTAAGGAAGTAGTTTGGTTTTGCTGATTGAATTAATTTGTCAGTATTATTTAATTGTTAATAAATATCTTCATTTTGGTTGCACAGAATCTGTATAGTGACATAAGTTGTATAAAGTATAAACTGTACTAATATTACTTTTCTCATTTTACATTTACTCATTTTCCCAGTAACTAGTAGTAGTGTTGTGTTGTTCAAAGAACATTTCGTTCATTTGACCTAATCTTGTATGTGAGGAGGAACAGGTTGTCTCAGTGAGTAATTCGTTAATTTTCACACATGCGTGAATAGTCTTGTACTCTCACGTTCACTCGTTACACAGCAGCTGCATGGACTCTGTCTCCACAGGAAACAGAATTGATTAGTTCAGGACTCATAACTGTGGGTCTCTGGGTTTGACATCTCGGCTACTGTGGAGCAGGAATGAACTACTCGTTCAGCGCCTACATGGGTCCTCCTCGGAGTCTGTCTTCAGACTGTAGTGTTTCAGATTATTATTAAATAGTGTGTCAAGCTTATTACTTCAATGTATTCGCCGCAAATCTGATGTTAACATCTAGATTTTACTCATGGATAGGCGTTAGGCTACTGTATGAATGAGCACTTTAGGGATATAGTGATAGTAAATATAATTATATATACATGGCTGGTCTGTTTGTATACTCAGGAAAGATTGTGAAAATGGACGGATTTAGCCGGATTAGTGGCTTAATTGATTATTGACAATGTATTTCTGTGGTTTTTACATGGTCTGAATTGGTTGTGGCTCCATGGGGCTTTATAGAACCATGATAGAGAATGATCAAGAGGTGAATTTGTGCATTATACTTTTTCAATTAGAGCAAGCCAGGAAGCCTTCCGTGTTTGAGAACTGCGCTGTTTGTTTTTTAAATCGCCCACTAGAGTGCTGCAACCACGCAATAACCAGCCTAGTTAAAATGAACGAAATGACACAAAAAAAGATTAGTTCATTTTAAAGAACGAGATTTGGTGACTCGAGTCTATCAAAAGAGTGACTTTTCCCATCACTAACTAGTAGTGTAATGGATTACTATTTCCAAAACAGTAATATTATTACCAATCAAAGTAACACTTAAGGACTGAGTTACTGAATGTATCATCCTTTGCGTTCATGCGTGACTGTGCGGCAGGTCAGCGGCACTGGACCTGATGTTATTCAAGTCAGCTGTCAACCAACAAGCTAAAGTAAAGTAAAATGAAGAATGGAGAACGAGGGAGATAGACATTCTTTCGCCCCCTTCTCTGTTGCACTTGTCACACAACCCTGGCTGAGTTTAACACCAACAAAACGTAGCAAACTGGTGCAAAAGGTTTTGGATTGAACTCGCCCCAGACGGTAACTTCATCAGAATTCAGCAAAAACAAGGATCTGTCCAAGTTGTTAGGGACCACTCGCATCCCCCCTCAATATTGAAAGTATTAGTTTGGCCCAGCCCCAGACTGACTCGGCCAGTGCGGTCGTGGATCATTAGGTAAAACATTAGAAACTGAAAAATGGCAGTATTCAGGGACATTAAACCCGTTTATTTTTTAATATAAGAAAAGCCATATGAAACTGTAGGCTAATTGGTTGTCCCTTCTCTTACTTCTACAAAATCAAATGTTAGGGGACAGAAAACAATAATAAGTTCTTGTATTATTTTATTAAAATGGTCTAAAATCGCCCCTGATGTAAATCAGTCTGTGTTCCAGGTGGATGGGTCAGCATACCTAAAGGCCTTCTTACCGAGCTCTGTACGGACCGTAGGTACAGATAACAAATACAAGTTACCAGAGTGCAAATTACAGGAACTGATGTTGCGTGATATGTGCAAAGATAAGAGAGGAGCATATTATGCAGCATAGACTTGGAAATAAAAGTGAGCCAATGTATGTGCCTCCTCACTGATAATGAGGGCCAGTTTGTCATTTTGTACAATGTACAATGGTGCGTTGATGCTTTACATCCAGTCACAAACCTCAAAGCACTATGGTAGACAGTATCCAACAAAGATAAACATTGGCCAGGCGCATTTCTATAGAGCAGGTATCCGTAATCGAGTGCAGTGAGAAAGTTTGCAGCAACCAGTCTCTTCCTGGTTTTCCAAGAAAAACTGATTTAACAAAAAAACAAACAAAGCCTGTTTCTAAAACAAAATCCTATATTTAGTTTGAGCTTTTGTACCAGTTTATCAATGTGCGACTTAAAAGAGAGCTGATCATCAATTAATATACCCAAATATTTGTACAATTGGATCTGCTCCCCACATAGTAAAAATACCTAAAACAAACCTTGCCAAAATCTTAAATTTGCAAAATTTGGTTTGAAATCAGGAACTATCTACTCAACAAACACTAGTCAATGCCATCTTTTGCTTCTACAAAGACATTCTAACACATTCAGTACATTTACACAAATGTCAATGTACTATCAGGACATTTTAACTTTCTTCTTCTTCTTCTTCTTCTTCTTCTTCTTCTTCTTCTTCTTCTTCTTCTTCTTCTTCTTCTTCTCTCTTCTTCTTCTTCTTCTCCTCCTTCTTCTTCTTCTTCTTCTTCTTTACTGTTTACATCCTTTGCCGCAGCCTTGGTTATCTTCCAACTCAGGGTCCATTCAGTCTTTGGCATATTGCGTTGCTCATGCATCAGTCCCATGTATGTCCGACTCCAGTGCTTGAAGTATACTACCGTGTCCTCATCCAGCTTCTTCCAGCGACAAATCCTCCATGACTGTTTCCAAGTGCACCACTCTTCCTCCTCCTCCTCCTCCTCCTCCTCTTCATCCTCATCTCCTCTGTGAGCTACCGCAACCATCCACGACTGCTTCCAGGAGGAGAATGAGGTGTTCAGTTCATGGAACTGCAGATGGAGTGGGACATTAGGTTTGCATTTGATTGGTTCCTTCTTCCCTTCTTTGTTGTCCTCTTTCTCATCTACTTTCTCATGGTCATCATCCTCCTCAGTTTTGACCTTCACATCTACTCCAGCATCTTTTTTGTCAGTCTCCTCCTGGTCTGCTTCATCCTCCTCCTCCTCCCCCTCTTCCTCCTCCTCCTCCTCCTCCTCCTCCTCCTCCTCCCTGTCTACTTTTTTGTCATCTTCATCCTTTTTGTCCTCTTCATTTAAGTAGTAATCATCCTCCTCATCCACTTCTTCATTGTCTGCCTCTTCTTTAGTGTCTACTTCTTTCCCCTGGTCTTTATCTGCTTCATTCTCTTCATCCTTTTTTTCCTTCGGCAGATGAAGTGGGACATTAGGTTTGCATTTGATTGGTTCCCTTTCTCCTACTTTGTTGTCCTCCTCTTTCTCACCTACTTTCTCATGGTCATTGTCTGCCTCAGTTTTGACCTTCATATCTACTCTAGCATCTTTTTTGTTCTCCTCATTTAAGTAGTCATCATCCTCCTCATCCACTTCTTCATTGTCCTCCTCTTCTTCTATTTCTTTCCCCTGGTCTTTGTCTGCTTCATTCTCTTCATCCTCTTTTTCCTTCACCTCTTCTTCTACCTCTTCACCCCCCTGCCTCGTATCTATACTATCTTCATGTACTTCCTTCTCATTTACTTGTTCGTCCTCCTCTTCCTTCTCTTCCCATTCTTTGTCTGACTCTTCCTCCTCGTTCTTCTTGTCTACTTCTGCATCCTCTTCCCCCTTTTCTGCCTCTTTGTCCTTGTCCTCCTTGTCTACATATTTTTTGTCCTTCTTTACTTTAGTCTCCTCCTCCTCGACTTCTTCGTCCTCGTTTTCCTTGTATACACCTTTGTATTTCTTCTGCTCCACTTGTTTGTCCTGGTTCTCATCTTTTTTATTGTCCTCCTCCTCTTCTTGTCTCTCTCCTTTATTCATCTGATTTTTTTCTTCTGCTTTTGTGTCATCCTCCCTCTCTTCCTCATCTGCTTCTTCTTCCTCATCCTCCTTGTCTATTTCTTCATCTTTCTTCTCCTTAGCTGGTTCTTTAACCTCTTTTTCATCTTCATCCTCCTTACAATTTTGGTTTATGTTTTTTTCTCTCTTTTCATGTTCTGCCTCCTCATCTTCATCCACATCCTCCACCTTATGTTCTTCCTCCTCATCCTCCACTTTCAAATCCTCCCCTTTATGCATGTCATTGTCTTCATCCATCTCTTTTACATCTTGCTCTTGCTTGTCGTTTACATCTTCCTTTTCCTCCTCCTTGCCCTCTTGTACATCTTTGTCTTCCTCTTTGTCTTCTTCCTTGCTGTCCTCCCCCTTATGCACATATTTGTCCTTATGTGTTTTATCCTGCCTATCCTTCTTGCTTACCATGTCCTCTTCCTCCTCGTGCACTTCTTTGTCCTCTTCTTTCTCCTCCTCCTCCTCATCTACTCCCTCATCCTCCTTATTGTTTTCATCCTCCTCATCCTTGTTAATTTCATTCTGTCTTCTATCTTCCTTTTGCTTGTGTGTATCACTCTCATCTATGTCTGCTTTTTTGTCCTTCTCATTTCTGTCAACATCTTCCTCCTGTTCTGTATTATCCATCATCTCCTCTAATTCTTCCTCCTCCTGTGTCTCATTCAGTTCATCCTCCTCTGGTTTGATCCATCCTTTAGGAGTCCTCCAGGCCTCCCTCCACTCTGTGTTATCTATGATCTCATCGTCCAACACTGATGTGAGGAGGTAGTGCGTGGTGTTACGTCTCCTAGTCAGCATGTCGCTGTGTCGATGATGGGACTCCAGCGAAGGCATGCACCACCTGTAGATATAGTATGAAAGTTTGGTAACACTTTCTATGCCCTGTCTAATTCATTATAATGCATTCTAAACTTGAGTAAAATATAATTAGTTATAAATTATAATTAGTTAGATATTAGTTAGAACAACACACAAAACGTTGCCCACAAACATAGTTGTAATACATTATATACTGCATAATATGATTATAATACATTATCAAATGGTTATAATGAGAATTATAATACACTATAATCCAAAAAAATGTCAGTTAGTGACCACATTTTTATAGATCTATATCTTACCATCTCTTTATCTCTTAGATCCTTGAGAAAGCAGTCACCAATTAGCTGTGTGACTTTCTACATAGCAATAGTTTATTTGAGGATTTTCAGGCAAGATTTAGAGTGTATCATAGCACAGACACAGCACTGGTGAAAATTACAAATGATCTTCTAACTGAATCAGACAAAGGACTTGTCTCTGTACTTGCCTTGTTAGATCTTAGTTCTGCATCAGACATCATTGGACATCATATGCTATTACAGAGACTGAAAATTTAATTGGCATTAAAGGAACCGCTCTTAGCTGGTTTAAGTCCTATTTATCAGATCGATCTCAGTTTGTAAATGTTAACAATGAATCCTCTGTGCACACCAAAGTTAGCCACGGAGTTCCAAAAGGTTCTGTGCTTGGAACAATCCTGTTCACCTTGTATATGCTTCCTTTATCAGCAAACACGGTTTGCTGTTATGCAGATGATACTCAGTTATATCTATCGATCAAGCCAGATGAAACTCATTAGTTAGCCAAACTTCAAGTGTGCCTTCAGGATGTCAAAACCTGGATGACCTGCAATTTTCTACTGTTAAACTCAGATGAAACAGAAGTTATTGTACTTGGGCCCAAACACCTCCGAGACGCATTATCGAAAGATGTAGTTGTAACTACCACATAAAACAAACCTCCAGGATCGCTATTTTTCACCTATGTAACATTGAAAAAATTGAGAACATACTGTCTTAAAAGGATGTGGAAAAGTTAGTCCATGCATTTGTTACTTTTAGGCTGGATCACTGCAATTCTTTATCATCAGGCTGCTCGAATAAGTCCATAAAACTCCTGTGTTAGGTTCTTTGCACTGCTTCTCTAAAAAGTGCTATGAAATTACATTTGTCATGAATTGGTGCAATTGAATTGAATTGAATTGAATTGAGGGCAGCACAGTGGCCTTGTGGATAGCTGTTGCCTCACAGCAAGAAGGTTCCGGGTTCGAACCCCAGTCGTCCTGTCCTTTCTGTGTAGTTTGCATGCTCTCTCCAGGTGTTCCGACTCCCTCCCACCGTCCAAACACATGAGGATGATTGGTGACCCTAAATTGTCCTTGTGTGAGTGTGACTGGTTTGTCTATGTGTGGCCCTGCGATGTCCAGGGTGTACCCCGCCTTTCGCCTGATGTCAGGCTCCACCCCCCCCATGACCCTGTACGCAGGATAAGCGATTGAGGATGGATGTAATTGAACTGAACAAATAAAGGACAGTTATTTGGGTAAAAACTATTCTTCATCCTGGTCAGGGATGCTCATGGCTTTGCAGCTACAGTGGGTTCTATAGATTTCTTCTAGTGCTGGAAGCTGTGAGTCGGTAATCCTCTCAGCCATTTTGATGATGTGCTGGACCATCCTGTTCTCAGAGGTGCAGCCAGATTACTATGCTGTAATGCAGTATGTGTTGACTCAACGGTGCATCTGTAGAAGAACAGCTGTTGTGGGAGTTGAGCTTTCTTCAGGTTCCTCAGGAAGTGAAGCCTCTAAAGATCTTTCTTGGTCATCGCTGTTGTGTTGATAGACCATCAAAGGTCATGGCTGATGTGGACTCAACGGAATCTGAAACTCTGGACTGCCTCCATTGTTGATGCTGATGCTCTCCAGGTTTATCCACATCTTCTCCAGGTTTCCAACGTCTCGTTGTTTTTTGAGATCAAACCTATCACTGTGGTGTCATCCGCAAGCTTGATAATGATCTTGGAGTCATGGATGAGTGTGCAGTCGTGCCTGAAGAAGGTATAGGGGTGGGCTCAGCACACAGCCCTGTGGTGCTCCAATGTTCAGTATTGTAGGGTAGGAGAAGTGCTTATCTATGGACACTGTTTGTGGTCTGTTGGTAAGAAAATCCAGAATCCAGTTGCACAGATGGATGTAGAGGCCAAGGTCTTCAGTTGACCTGTTTACCCTATAAGCAAACTGGTGTTGGTGTATGGAGGATGGGATGTTGCTTTTTTTGTGTGTAAGTACGGGTGGGTGATATGGCCAAAAAATTGTCATATGATTCACAATTTTCACAATAAATTTCAAATCACAGCCGCCTCTGGATTACGCTCCATAGTGCTTTTTGTGTTTTTGTTTATAAACTCTGTTTTCCGCCGCTCTTTATCGAACCTAGAATTGAACCTGAGTTATTAGTTGGAGGAGGAGCAGCTCTGTATGAGACCTACCAGAGACGCCGCAGGGGGAAGCGAGCTGGCGCACTAGTTAAACTGAGACAGCGGGGTTTTTGCACTGCACTCCCCTCGATCCACCTGGCGAATGTCCAACAAAATGGACAAACTGCTGCTCTTCAACAGAACTAACTCGGACTTCTGCAGATCTGCCGCCCTCTGTTTTACTGAGTCTTGGCTCACCGAGCACATCCAGGGCAGCACACTTCACCTACCGGGATTTAATCTCTTCTGTGTAGATTGCATAACGGAAAACAGGGAAAACCAAGGGGAGGCGGAATCTGTATCTACATAAACGAAGGTTGGTGTACAGATGTCACAGTGTTGGAAGAAATCATGCAGCCCTCACTTAGAAACATTATTCATAAACTGTAAACCTTTTTATTCACAGCGTGAGTTTTCCTAGTTTGTTCAGGTCGCCGTTTACATTCCACCACAGGCCCGTGTTAGTGAGGTGTTATTACACCTGGCCGACCAGATAACTAATGTGGAGAAAAAACATCCAGACTCCTGCTCATTGTTCTTGGGCACTTCAACAGGGCAAACCTCAGCCATGAACTTCCAAAGTACAGACAGCACCCACCAGGGATACTAACACACTGGACCACTGCTACATTAAAGGACGCCTATCACTCTGTTCCTTGTGCAGCCCTGGGACTCTCTAATCACTGTCTGGTTCATCTTATCTTGACATACAGGCAGAAATTAAAATCTGCTAAACCTGTCGTAAAGAGGGTGAAAAGATGGACCAACAAGTCGAAGCTGGAGTTCCAGGCCTGCTTTGACTGTAATGACTGGAGTGTTTTTGAGGCTGCAGCCACTGACCTGGACAAACTAACTGACACTGTGACATCTTACATCAGTTTTTGTGAGGACGTGTGTGCCGACCAAAAGCTTCACAGCCAGCGACCCTGCGTCAGTGTGGAAAGGCCTGCGGACACTCACCAACTACAGGAGACCATCCCCCAACCCTGCTGGTACACAACGACTGGCAGACGAGCTGAATAGCTTTTATTGTAGGTTTGAAAAGCCCACAGTCACACCTCTCCCCCGCTCCAACACCATCTTCAAACAGTCACCTTCCCCTGACTGCCACGCTCGCACCCCCCCTCACTTCTTCACTCAGATCTTCAACAGATCACTGGAGCTGTGTGAAGTTCCCTCCTGCTTCAAACGCTTGTCAAGTAGATTGAGATCCCTGCGCACTAACAACACTCTAAAAAGGGCCCATTAAAGGCCATGGGACTGCAAGGTACTTTCCGACTGAATAACACAAGAGACTATAAGAAACAAAATAACCTACAGGAGAATCAGGTACTTTCCAAATGAATGTGATGTGTTAAGTGTGATAAGTATAGCAATCAGTAGAATGATGTATTAGACGTATTATAAAGGAATTACTAAAGAAATTAAAAATTAGTAACTATGGTATGAAAATGTCATGATTTGATAAGTATTGATTGGAAATGTGCATGTAATGATAGATGTGATTGAAGGAATATGTTAGGACATGTTGAAGCTTGTTGCGAAATACTGGACTGAGTGTGACCGCCTCATGACTGTGAGTCATTGAGAGGGAAAGGTCAGTAGGGGAAATAAGTGGACCAAACAAGGACATCTCTGAAACAAATGAACAATCTATGTGCCAGTAGTCACGTAGACAGGATAGGGGTGGTGGCTGATATGACAAAGAAATCAGCCACGGAGTAGGATATATAAAGAGAAGCCAGAAAGAGATCGGGGTTATTCCTCGGCGGATCTCAGAGGCATCGGTCGCTGAGCAGGACCACCAAGCATCGGACCAAGAGCCAAAGAGTTGGGGATTTGAACAACTAACATCTAGAGAACGCTTCAGAGATTTCTTCAGCAAAGCATCAACAGATCGCACCACGGAGGATAACCATAACAGCCAAGACAACTGAAGAATCATCGGACTCTGAAGATTTTCTCCTTTTCAACTGCAACAAAGACTGAAGACTTCGACAGACGGTAGAGGGCTTTGGACAAAGCCTCAAGTCTCCTCCGGAGTCCGCAGCCCCGCAGCGGAGGAAGGATTTCACTGCAGGACAACTCCTTCCCCTCCCTTTCTCTCCAAAAAGAAGATAACCAAAAACACTCAAGCTCAGCTATTCGTATCAGGTTTTGAATTTTAAACAGTTTTATTATTTTTACTCATGTTAACCAATTTTAGTTGTATGCTTGCCCTTGCTAACTTTATGCAATAAAATATATAATCACTGCATTTTAAGAACGATAGTCGACATTGAAGTTATTTCCTCACTAAGGTAGTAATCAATTAGGTAAAGTGTGTTTAACATCTTTGAGGTTCTTATAGGTTGCTCTAGCCACTGAAATTAACTTATCCTTGGGGCCTATTTTCCTGGCCACTAAATACCAACCTGGCAACCATACCAAGTGTACTGATCAATGAGAAGAGAGCTGTTGTTAACGGGCATGGCTGGGGTGGTATCTGGCTCTAGGGCTATTCAGTCAGGTGCTATCTCAGAGTAAGCAGGGTAGGCGTTC